TATAAAATAATAATTGAACATTATTTATCTGAGGAGCAGCTTTGAGTTTAACTCCATCACTGAACTCTCATCTTGAACAAGCCTGAAGGCGACAGTGGAAAGAAAAACTCCCTCATGAGGAAGAAACCTTTAGCAGAACCAGGATCAGGACAAGAGGACCATCTGCTTCGACCGGCTGGGTTTGGTAGGAATAGATACACAATGGCAGGTCAAGAATCACGTTATGATAGAAATAGTATCAAATGAAAACTATTCAGTTTTAACGATTCATTTAAGGAAATGAGGTCAGTTTGTCCTCTAGTAGTCTAAGTCTATAGCAGCATAACAAGCCGACCCTAACTATAGGATTTATCAAAAAGGAAAGTCTTCAAACTGGACAATGTGTCAGCCTCATGGACAGAAACTGGAAGTTGGTTCCACAAGAGAGGAGCCTGAGAACTGAAAGATCTTCCTCCCATTCTTCTCCTGGAAACTCTAGGAACCACAAGTAAACCTGCAGTCTGAGAGTGAAGTGCTCTGTTAGGAAAATATGGAACAATAAGATCTGTAATATAAGATGGAGCTAGGTTGTTGAGAGCTTTGTAGGTTAGAAGAAAGATTTTGAATTCTATTCTGGATTTGACAGGGAGCCAATGGAGAGAAGCTGAAACTGGAGAGATATGATCTCTCCCAGTAACTCCAGTTAAGACTCTGGCAGCAGCATGTTGGATCAACTGAAGACGTTTTAAAGAAGTATTTGGACACCCAGATAATAAACCATTGCAATAGTCCAGTCTAGACGTGACAAATGCATGGACCAGTTTTTCTGCATCATCTTTAGATCACATGTTTCTAATGTTAGTGATATTACGCAGGTGGAAGAAGGAGGTTCTAGTAACGTCTTTAATGTGGGGGATAAAAGACATGTCCTGATCAAAAATAACACCAAGATTTTTAACATTACTTCACAACTTGCTCTCGACGAGATCGGATGCTTCTCCTCCTCCCTCTCTGCTTTGCTGCTCTGTCTGTGAAACTGCTTCTGAGACTCTCTTGCATTTCTTGCGAACCATAATTATGGACTTGTTCTGACCAGTTGGTCCCTCAACTCCATTTAACATTTCTTCGAAGAGAAGACAGGCTTTGGGCGAGCCGATTTACCCTGTTGGCACGTACGCAGCTGGATATCTCATTGACTGGAAGACTTGATGATGTGTCTATCTCTGCTGCCATCTGTGGATTTTAAGGACTCATATTTAATTGGATTCACAATAACTGGTTCCTGCTATTTGGATTCAGCTGGTCCTGGTTTTTATCTACAATCAAGGAAGTTGTCGGCAGCAAATTTGGACCCGATCACGCTGCTTGCCTTTATGATGGCTTGGTTCATGTCTGGAGTACCCGGACTCAAATGCTTTGGGCTGAATGGATCAGATCTTGGGGATTTTACTCAGTCACGCTCCATTGGTGTGGCCATGTATTTTGGACATTTCGGAACCGATTAGACCGACACAGACTCAAGGTAGATGTCATTAAGTTCTGCGTGTCCCCAAAACAACTGTGTTTATCTAAATTTTGGTCGCCTTGGTGTCCTCGAAGGACATCTTATCTAAAGTCGCCTGGAGAACATGTGATCTGACGCTCACTACCCCCTCCCTGAGGAATTTCCAACTGATAACCAGAGGAACCAGCTGAAAAAACTTTGTGTCATCATTTCAGGACTCTGGATTCTCAGAGGTTATTCTTGGCCATTTCTCGACATACCTCGAGAATGTTTATGGATCTCACCGGAGGACATTGACTGATTACAGTGACCTCAAGAGCATCTGTAGACGTTGTTGACCGCTCTTGTCTCTTCCTTCTTCCTGCTCTGCTCTATTGCAGAATGTCTACATAAATATGTGCTTGTTTGTGCGAGGTGTTTTTTCAATATTAGGGGTTTTTCTCAGCCAAGAAAAAGTCTGATAGGATTTTGTTTCACCTCCAACTCCTCCATGTGTCCAGTTAACCACCGTTTTTGTCTGTCCAAACAGGTCTCACTTGTAATTGAGTCTTCGAGGCTCAATGTGATTTATTTGTCTAAATAAAGGTTGAATGAAAAAACATTAGAGCTGGAGGACAGATTAATGCATCTAAGGAGGGAGAAAGACTGAAAAATTCATTCCTAAGGTGCTCAGGTCCAAAAACCAAAACCTCAGTCTTGTCTGTTCAACAGGAGAAAATTAAGGGTCATCCATTGAACCAAGGAGCTCAACTCCTCCGATTGATTACTTTCTTTTTCAGCGGAGCAGTTTTATCAAATGAAGTTTGCAAAGAAGTTGTAAAATTATCAGATGATCTAAGTCACTGCTCTCTGATGTATCACTCTGCAAGACAGAGGAAAACACTGATGGAAGAGAATCTTTAAAATTGGTTACAGCGTTTTCTGATACACACCTTCATAATGTATGGACATTATCTTTAGCCGCTTCTTCCATTTTGGGTCACGAGGGTCGCCGGTGCCCATGTCCAGCAGTCATTGTGCGAGGGACGGGGTACACCCTGGACGGGTCGCAAGTCCATCACAGGGACACAAGAGACAAACAACCATTCACTCTCTCTCACACACCTAGGGACAATTTAGAGTTACCAATCAGTCTAACATGCATGTTTTTGGTCTGTGGGAGGAAACCGGAGTACCTGGAGAAAACCCACGCATGCACGGAGAGAACATGCAAACTCCACCCAGAAAGGCCCCTGGACCGGGGTTTGAACCGAGGACCTGCTGGCTGAGAGGCAGCAGCTCTACCAGTTGCGACACCGTGCTGCTGATAAGCACCTGCTCAGGTGAAATTTACTCTCAGTGACTGCGTAGTCATTTAATGTAAACTCAAAAATTATTAAAAAATGGTCAGACACAACTGGACTTTGAGGAAGTATTATTAAGTTATTAATCTCAAAGAAAAAAAAAGACTATAACTCATTGAATTTTTCCACATTGAGATAAAGTTTGGTATATTGGCTGAGAGCGAAGTCCAACACAAAGTAATGTCAGATGAAAACTTTCAAAGCAGTTCCCGTCAAAGACTCTCCAGGATCTTTCTACATTTGCTTTGCCACCCAGACATATTGAGTCCTACCATCTGGTCTTTCCATTAAAATGTCCCGGAGTTCATTAATCTGATGATTACCTGTAGTACGCTGGAAATATGGAGTGATCATTTCTCTACATTCAGTGTTCTGTAATGATAAATGTTTGTCCGTCTTCCATCAACAGTCAGCAGACACTGAATGATGTTCAGTAGATAAAAGTTTTATTTACACAAAACACAGATACTGGGTTTATATATAAGGAGGACGTCCGAGTGTGAGCGGAGCTGGAACGGTGTGACGTGTAGGGCTGTCAGAACGTGGTCGGGACGGACGGGTCAGGGATTGGTCAGTTCGTCTGACATGGCAGAAGGAGGCAGGCTGTCCAACGCTCCCAGCTCTGGAACCAAACACATCACAGAGTCCGGATCAGTCCGGTCCACAGAAACAAACAGCTGACTAACCAGACCTACCACGAATAATAAATATGTGGGTCCAGTATGTATCCATAAATATTCAAATGTCTCTTAAAGAGAAGCAACTTTATTGCATGCCTGGTGTGTCCTAGCTTCTGCTCTCCTCAGCGTTGTCCCCCTCATGTAATCAGTTCCTCCTGTGCACCTGTTGTATCTCCCAGGTGTTTGTGTTTATCCCCTCGTTCACGTCTGTAAATAAGTCTGGCCTTGTGTCCTGTGTCTGCCTCCCCCTAAAAGCTTTTGCTTTTATATATATTCAATTCTAAGTAAGTCCCATTTTCTCCAAGTCCTGCTGTAAATGGGTTCAAAGCACAAGAAACGTAACAATATTGAGATATTTTAGCCACTAAGGAGAATGTAAAGGTTTATAAAACTGCGATCGCATGAACTGCTGTGAAATTCTGCTCAGACTAGCTTTCACACAGAATAGCTGAACTATTCCTTTAAGTTGTTTTCAGTGTTGGTGTGGCTAAAACCTGATCGTTAAATAGATCTTTACTGAGTCCGTTAACAACACGAGTTATTTTTTAATGTTTACACGGAGTCTCTGTTTCCAGCTGCTTGTCGTTGCTGACTGGAAGAGGTTCAGGCCGTTGACAGCTTCAGACGTTCAGCTTTAACAACGAGACACAAACCTTTAAGTTTGAGGTACGACAAGAAATCGATGACTGTGTGGACGATGTCTTCATCTCCTATTCTGAGCGCTCCTGTGGAGGAACAGCAACAACACGCGTTAGAGAAACGTGACGAGTCGCTCACATGAAGGAAACTAAACATCTGCTCAAGTCTCGCTCAGTCATTAGAGATCGTTTTTACACCAGATGTTCTTCCTGACCAACCACAGACACCGAGCCACCACCGCCTCTGTGTGGAGCAGAGAGCTGCATCTAGGACACCCGGAGGAGCAGATGGTGGGGGTTCAGGGCCTTGCTCAAGGGCCCAGAGTGGTGCACATGAGGGTGGAGGCAGGTGTGGGTGTTTCACCATTACCTGCATTTTGATGTCTGCCCGGGTAGTTGAACCGGCAACCTTCCAATCACAGGCCCACCTTCTCTAACCTCATGCCGCACCACTCCCCCAAACAATAAATATAAATTAAAGATGACAAATTTTAAATAAAATTGATCACTCCGAGCTCTAAAGCCTCAGAGAACAGATGTTACCTGGAGTTGCTGCTTGAATCTGTGTTCTGCTCACCTACTGTTCCTGGGTACTGCTCACCTACTGTCCCTGGGTACTGCTCACCTACTGTTCCTGGGTACTGCTCACCTACTGTCCCTGGATACTGCTCACCTACTGTTCCTGGGTACTGCTCACCTACTGTTCCTGGGTACTGCTCACCTACTGTCCCTGGATACTGCTCACCTACTGTTCCTGGGTACTGCTCACCTACTGTCCCTG